AAGATCATCTTTAAATTATTTATATATCTTCTATTTTGAGTTAAACATGAAAACATAAATAGCTGTCCTTGGCAGAAGCAGTCTGGCATCAGCGGTGTGGCTGTGGAATCTATGCTGAACACCGCGTGGGCAAACAATATCTTCACGGTGTGTCGGATTATTTGGTGAAATGCCAGTTTTTGTATTCAGTACATTGCCTTGTATTTCCTTTTTTTTAAAAAGAATAAAACGTTATTGAATCCCAACAAGTTTTATTCAGTTCGTACAGAACATTTGTATAATTCACTAGTCATAAAAGCCACATATTCTAATTAAAAGAAATACAAAACCAGAAACGCCGTCTGCTGGAAAACTGACATGGTTGTTTGGAATTTCTGTCCCAAACAGGAAATTATGTTTTCCTTCTCTTCTTGCTGATCTCCAGCCCGCTTCCTGAGGGATCTGATGTCTCTCGGGTTGTGTTCCACCCCGTGTTCTCAGTTACATAATTGGTCTAATTATTTATTTAGCTGCATAATTGCAACACTATTAACCCGGCCCCAAGGAGATTTACAGCTAACCATACCTTGAGGAAGGTATGGTTGTGTGATCAGTAGCAAAACACCCGGAAGACAGGTCCTGTTATCTCATTTAGAAAAGAATTAAGTTGCTTAACTGACAGCGCAGGCTGGGAAAAAGCCCGGAAAACACAACATCCTCTAGGACACGAGTTTGAGACCCCCTGCCCCACAGCATCTCCATACCATTTGAGTGATTATCTAGAGCAACAAACATTAAACCACAATTCACCCCAGTAAATGGTTCCAAGGCACGTGAGATCAATTGTTTTTTTTATTTTCCTGACACTCCTGTAACTACCATTGCTACTGTCTTATACTAATACAGAATGATTTTTATCATAACGGCTTGGTTGACAATTTGCAGGCACATTACTGCAAGTACGTAGTCGCCATTTCTTCTGCCTCTGAGTCTATGCTTACATTTTAAAATCCTGGCAGGGGGGAAGCACTCCGTAGTGACTGTGTTCGTTTTCACACTCCAACATGGTAGTAGCAGACGGATCAGAGGCAGAGAGGCTGTTAAGCTACAGGAAGGCTCAAATTCTGTACCCAGGAGTCACCGACATGTGCCTTGGATTTCTCATCGCGGATCAGCTGTTCCTTTCTTAAATGTGTAGAAACCCTTTAATTAAATTTTGGTTAAAACTGCTCCACCTACTCTTTATTTTCAGAATTACTGCTTTTCCGTCAGGCAGTCCTTAACACCTCCCCCCACCAAATCAGCAAATCTGTTTCAACAACGACTGTAATAGTTTACAGATTAATGGCACAGAACCTGCCACTGCAGGAATAATTACTAATGGGTGCATGGTGTTGGAGGGGAGGGAGGGGTGGCTGCTGTTTGAATTTCAGACATGTGTGGATCAGAAAAGCATTCCTTACTGATGGAAGCTCCATATTCTTATTTTAAAAAATCAGGAATCGGCACCCGGTAAGGTAAACCTGATGAATGAGAAGGCTTGCTATGTCACGCATTGTCTTGTGAAAGAAATTAAAAGACCTTCACCAACTTTGGTATGTTTTGCATGCAGCAGTGCGTGGTAGCCTCTCCTTTCCACAGGTTTTGATTAGTTCTTTCAGCCATCAGTGGACAAAAGCACTGAAGCTTTCACGAGTTCTGATTGTGTATTTAGGAGATAAAACTTTCAAAGATCGAATCAAAGTGGTCTAATTGAAGGGATCATTAGGTCTCGATGATGAAGAGCTCAGCTGCAATGAAAAAGCCGGGGACATGGAGGGTACCCCAGTCCTGCCCCGCCCGATCCCTGCAAAAGTGCCCCCCCCCACCAAATGCCCCACCGTTAATTCCAGCTCTTGAAGAACTGCTTGAAGATGACCGTCTCTCTGCCCTGAGGGATGATCTCCACCTGCGCAGAGCAAAAAACACAGGCTGGTAAGAAAACCTCCAAAATACTGTACATACTCTGTTCTGCAACCCACCCACTACCCCACACAGCAAGTATTCCAGAATTCTGGAAAAGGTGAGCTGCCCACAGATCAGCTCCTGTCTCATCCTGCTAAACTCCACCCTTTATTCAGTGTAACACTTCAGTGCTACCAGAAAATGACTGCGTTCCAGACACTAGAAGCTATTCCTATAAGCCTCTAAAGGCTGTACATCTTTTATTACAACAAACCCTATAAGATAGCGACAAGACTCGTGGAGCTGTAGATTAGCACTCGTCTGCTCTGAATTTCTGCTTGTGGAAAAGTTTTTTGTGCCCTCCCACACCTTATCTCATATCTCATCTCGTATCCTGCGACAGTGCCCAAGACAGCATTCCCACCCCGGCCTGAGCCGCCGTGACAAAGCGCGCGCGCGCCGTTGTGTGTGGTCTTTCGGTGTCGTTCCCGCTGCTACACACCTGCGTCTTTAGCCTGGGGTAGCTCATCTTCTCGATGAAGTCATCGGCCACCTTCAGCGCCGCTCTCTTCTCCTCGCCGTTGGCGCCGCTCCCTGCGCGGACAGAACGGGCACCGGTGTCTGCAGTCAGGCACCGAGCAGGCCAGACCCCGCCCGGGAGCGGCAGGCTGCCTTAATTCCCCCCGCCGCCCTGCTCAGTACCTGGGTCAACGGCTGCCAGGTAGCCTTGACATCACAAATACCTTGCTGCAAAGCTGACTATCTCCTTACTTTCCTCTTACAGCACACTGGATTATTCATCATTAATTGCTTAATAATAATTGCTTACACTTTATAGCACTGTTCTGGATGCTCCACTCAGAGCGCTTCACAGGTAATGGGGATCCCCTCCACCACCACCAGTGTGCAGCCCCACCTGGATGATGCGACGGCAGCCATTGTGCACCAGTACTCTCCCCACACACCAGCTCTCAGTTGGGAGGAGAGCAGAGTAATGAAGCCAGTTCAGAGATGGAGATTATTAGGAGGCCATGATTGGTACGGGCAATGGGAAAATTGGCCAGTTCGCCAGGGTTACACCCCTACTTGTTACCCTGGGATTTTTAGTGACCAGTCACCTCAGGACCTCAGGTCACCTCAGGACCTCAGTTTTATGTCTCATCCGAAGGAACGGAGCCTTTTTACAGTATAGTGTCCCTGTCACTATAATGGGGTATTAGGACCCACATAGACCGCAGGGTGAGCGTCCCATTCTGGCCCCACTAACAACTTTTTCCAGCAGCAGCCTTAGCTTTCCCAGGAGGTCTCCCATCCAGGTACTGGCCAGGCTCACACCTGCTGAGCTCCAGTGGGCCGCCAGCTGTGAATTGGTGGGTGATATGGCTGCTGGCATTATCATTACTGTTCAGAACTTATTCTAACTCATTCCCAGGTGGCACTATTTGGTAGGAGCACTTACTTGCTCAATCCCTGTCTAGCCCAGCCCTCAACCTGAACAAGAGCAAAGGTCACCGGGGTGCTCATGGGATTGCTGGAGAGTTTCCCACTCCCCCCCTCCTCCCCTCACCTTTCCAGATGAAGATCTTGCCGTTGGCCCCGTTGTCCAGGATGAAGCAGTCGTCGCGGAGCAGCTGGTCCTTCTCAAAGGGGCTTTTCTCCGACACCTTTGTCAGCTTCATGGTGCCCGTCGCATCCGAGACCTGTGGACACCATCGATGGATTCACATGGATCCACACAAGAGGTGGGCAATGCGACTTCAAAATGTTGCTGTGATGCACTGCTATTTTTGTGCTTAAATAATACATCTGATGATCTTTGAGATGATGTCTCTGTGCAAGAAAACCACAATGAGAGTGCACTACAGAAGTAAGTATACACAACTGTGCTTAGCAATCATATTATTAAGTTATTTGCTTGAAGCTGTCTGCTCACAGATCCAGCACTCATTTGAATTCTTAGCAATTAGGCCAAGCTTATCGGATGTGTAGGAAATGGAAACTTTCTGAGCAAGACCTTATCAAACACAACTGACTGATGAAAACGTAGACATATGAGCTGGAGAGGAAGCTGTGGGACTTCTTAAAATGTTCAAATTCCAATTATCTTTTATTCTGTGCCCACCAATCTTTGTAATCATCAGTTGTGTCCTTATACTTTACTTAATAACGTTGTTTTATTCAGAATGCATTTTATGTTGCCGGGCCTGCTGCTTAAACTGCCTCTTGGCAGCATCTTGGCATTATTGCTGAAATGCTCACACCATTTCCAACTGACTAGAAGAGGGACACACTAGTAAAGCAATAGTTGTGCGATTCGGGTGGGCAGCTGCGTCAGCATGCGTAGGCTGCAAAGGAACAAGTAATGGGTTTAATCCATGCCCAAAAGAGAAGAAAGAAAACGCAACGTTTCTTCACGGCCGAAATGTTGTGTTTTCTTTCTTCTCTTTTCAGCCTGGAATAAACCTATTAATAGTTGTGCAATTACATTAGTATTATTTGAAAGTGATGATACAAACAATGCAAACAATAGGAGTTGTGCTGTATATATGTATATGCATGTTTGAGTATTGTCATAATTTTTCTTCCCCGTTGGATGCATGGCCATGCCCTATGCACACTCACATACAAATCAATAACATCCATGGACATACTGCCCCACCCACCTTGTACAAGGAGGCGGTGTTGGAGGCGTCGGCCTGGCTGTCCTCCTCGGGCGTGCTCTCCTTCAGCGCCGGCATTGGCCCCAGCACCTGTCAATCACATGGTGGAGGAGTGGCTTGAGTGGCCAGGCCAGGCAGGAGCCATCGCTTGCGAGTGTGCCACAGTTCCTTTCCCCTTAGTGCTAGACTAATTTAACTAATTGTACTATTGGGGTTGCTGAGCCACATGGGGATCTAGTTTCCATTCCCCTTGAGCACGTACTGGTATATGAGCTCCTCATGGTGCACAGGAATTGTAACTAGTTATGTTTTAGATTTATAATTACATGTTTGATGTGTAAATAAGTTGTCATATTGCATTACTAATGCACTAATCTATATAGGTGATCTTACAGCCTATAACATGGTTTCATCACTCTGTTCTCCTCCACACTGATAGCTGATGTGTGGTTTTGACTGCCATTGCATCATCCAGCTGGCTCTTCACACTGGTGGTGGTGGAGGGGAGTCCCCATTACCTGTATAGCAGTTTTAGTTTCCACAAAAACTCAATAAATAAGTGTAGTGGATTATTATTATTATTGTGTAATTTATATAAATTGGTCCAGATGCAGATTAATGGCAATAAATGATTAAAATGACTCAATCATTGGCCTCAGTCACCAGTGACTCCAGTTCAGCCCCAGTAGGGAGCTTCAGTTCCCTCAATCCCAGCAGGCCTAGGGCCAGGAGGGGGTGAGCACACCTGGGGCTCTGGACAGGGTTACCTGCAGCATCTCAGCAGGCTCCTCCCCCTCGCAGACGGCGGTGATCTTGGCTTTGCCGTGCTTCTCGCTGTCTCTGATGAGAGCCGCGATCTCCGTCATCTTCTGCTTCTCGAACATGTTGGCCTGGGAGCCGCTCCATGAAACGATGGCCTGAGACAGACAGAGCGAGAAAGCACAGCGTGTCTCATCTCGTCTCTCCCCTCCCTTCTTCCTCTCTTTCACTCAGCCTCTCTGTTGAGCTCCAGCTGGGTTCCTGGTTCCTGAGAGTAAAGCTCTCCCAGGAATTCACTATCCCACCCCCCTCACCTCTCCCAGGTCCAGTATGAAGCAGTCCCCCTTGTTAAAGCTGGCCCAGCTCAGCTCCACCTCTCTGGCCCGGATGTTCCTCTTGCCCTTGATCTGGTACAGCCGTTGCACAGGAGCCGAGGTAGACTGGGTCTTCCGGAACGCGGACTCCACACCCCCTTCCTAGGACAGAGAGACAGAGGGCTATACGGCACATTCCCATCACCTCCTCTTCCTACAGTTTTGTACAGCCCATTGCAGACCTCTACAAAGTCCCAACCACACTGGTTTCTAACCTGAGCTTTGGAGCTATGGTGACAGTAAGGTATTGTTCCTAGGGACAGAAGATAGGAGGCACTGAGGCACTGATCTGCAAACATCTGACACAACCTGCTTATATAAACTGTAGAGGCTGATCTTCTAGGATCCTTCAGGAAGCAGATCAGGATCAATGGGCTACTGGCTACTGTGCAAGATATGGTCTCTTTTGTTCTGTATCCTTTCTTGTCTTCTGATCCCTTGTGCACACTCCAGCTCCCCTGCCAGGCCTGCCTCACTCCTGACCGCTGGACCCCGACCTGTGTCCGATGTCCGGTCCCAGACACCCACCTTGTAGGTGATCCCGCGAGGAAAGAGCTGCATGAAATCCGTGGACTCAATGCCCTGGACCTCACGGTGCTGGACGGGCTCCCCGCTCAGGAAGTCATCCAGCTGCGTGGCCAGCATGGCACAGGCAACCTGCTCATCCCGAGAGGACTTCTCACCTGGAAATGGGAGGGGGGACACGGATTCAGTGCCTCCCTTGTGCACACAAAGCCCCCAGTTTCCCCCACAAAGTCCATTTAAGGGATGATGACAGGGTAACATCGGGAGTTGCTTTATTACACTAAGGGTGGTGGGGGTGTTGAACAAGCTGTCCAGCAATGCCGTGAAACGGGATGCTCAAGGATCCTTCAAGAAGCATCTGGTCGAAGTCCTTGGCTCGGAACGGTCTCCCGCAATGCTTTGGCACTCCTCCATTCCAGACGCGCCGCACTCACCGATCCACATGTGCAGGGTGCTCTCGCCCTCGGGCTTGTTGCTCAGAACGAGGTAGGCATCCCCGTTGAAGAAGGTGCCGAGCTCCTTGGCGGCGATGGGCACCGCCTTCAGCTTCTCCACGCGCCAGGCGTGCAGGCCGGGCTCACGGGCGCTGGGGCCGAACTGGCCAGGGGCTGCTTTCAGAGGGAGCATCTGTTCCAGGGCAATGGGGAGAGAGAGAGAACAGAGAGGGGCAGGGGTGCAGACAGGGGAGACCCGGACTGTTAGAAGACCTCTTTACTGACTAAAAGAAAGTTGAATAAACTCGTGCAAATAAATTGGACACTCATGCATTGACACAGCATCTGTGTAGTTTACTATGTCCGCTAAACCTAAAAACAGAGAATTGGTTAGAGGGTCAGAAGTTTGGAAAAGGAAAGGTTTCAGAGGTTTGATTTGTAAAGTGGCAGAGGAAGAGACAGGAGAGGGCTGAAGAACAGGAGAGCAGCAGAGGGAGAGGGTGGGGAAATCTTGCGGATAGGAAGTGGGAGAGAGGGATGAGATGAAGGGAGAGATCAGAGCACAGGCAGGAAGGTAGGAAGAGGCACTTTAGTGGGTCGTCTGAATTAGGGAGTACTGTGGGTCATAGGGCAGGAAGAGCACAGAGCTGTGCAGAGGCCCTGCAGAATCAGGACCAGGACACCTGGACTCTGGACTCTCTCCAGGTGGATTTGGGTGACAAACAGGTGATCTGGGGGGTCAAACCTGGGAAACCTGTTGCTAATTAGGTCTTTCACACACTCGCATGTGTCCAGAGGCAGGTTATATGGGGTTCGTTATTTGGAAAATCACCCATTTGTTCATTCCTTACTGAAATCAAGGCCAACAATCTTGAAACATATAGCACCTGGCACCCTATTGTAAATAGCAAAAGCACCAGCAGCAAAAAAGACATGAACTGGAAAAAGCCCCTTTGCAATGGAAGTATAATGGGTATCCCTGTAACAGGAATAAGAATTGAAGGTGCCTAACCTGGGTTTTACATGACGTTGAATTAACCGTTATGGTTCATATGCACAGAGCTTATAAACATATAACATATACTGTACAACAATAATACAGTACACAACTGTATTATACCATGATACATAAAAACATGTAACAAAATCACTCAGTCAACTCTCAAGCCTGTACCATGAGATCAAAAGACAGACAATCAGCTGGTAAAGTGTATAAAGCAACCACAATAATAATAAGATCCCTATCTGCAAATAATCTTTTCATTGCTCACCAATTGAATGCTTTTAGGTGTAAATGAAGCAAATGTTCTCTTATTCTTTATAGAGGGGTCTGGTACCTCCTCCCAGAGGCTAGGAGAATATATTCTAAAAAGAGTGGAAGAGAGGGCTCATCTAAGATTTTATCTGTGAGCATTTAGAAAGGCAACCTGTTCTACACCAGGATGTCTTTAGAAATGATATTTACATCACTAGCAGCAGGTTAAAGAGAGAAAGCGATGGCCTGAATGAATGTCTAAGAATGCAGTAAAAACTCTTCACGCCGCACAGTGAGACATATATAGTGTGGTTCACTCCAGAAGCACAAGATCAAGCACGTGTCCTTCTCGGGCGAGGACGCAGATATGAGAGCATTTCTCAATCAGATGAAAACCACAGATGGAGCAGTAAAAACGTCTTGCTCCGTACTAAAATGACACAAACGTTTACGTATCAGGATATGAGCTGTATTACTGTTGGTAGCCTATATATTCTGGGACATGAAATTGATTTTTTGTTTTCAAGAAAAAACTGGTAGAGCACCGTCTAGTTAGCGAGTCTCGGAGTCTCTGAGAATGTGCTGCGATGAATCAGGAGAGTGTAAGACCACGAGACCCCAGCCTCCAGCATGATAAGAGGTTTATTTATTTTCCTCTTCTGCAAGTTTGCACCAGTAAATGCACCAGTACCATAGTATTAGGGTGTAGTGTCGTGAGTTACCACCCTTCGCCACAGTGTGAGCTGAACTCATTTTTTTCACAGTGGAATAACCAGGCTTTCACTTGGCCTTCTCAGCAGCAAACCCAATAATAAACTACGGTTCGAGGTCAGGATGCCTTCCCCCTAACAGTTCAAAGGCGTAACTACAGTGAAACAAAAACCTCACATATGAGACCCCTACCAACGTTCTGGGCGCGTTGGGCCACTGTGCACACGTTGCCGGCATCAGCATCCGCATGACAAGGCGCTGCCAGCGAGACGCGCATGAGCCAGCGATGAGAATCACTTGTACTTCCCTCTGCTGTGCGAAACCCAGGTCAGGGCAAAGTGTCGTCTCTTGCAGGGCCCCATACCGGAGCAGAGCATGAATACAATCCTCCATCCCTCATTATTGCATACAGAATAATTCACAGTACCCAAGCCAGAGGTGTACAGACATGCCTGCAGAATATTGAGTAAATCAATAAGCATCAATAATTCATTTCGACACATAGTGTATTGTGTGGACATTGCATGTCAGAGATGGCCCAAAATGTGGTCTCATTACATGCCAGGTAGTAGTTGGTTCATCATGGCTTCTCTTTTACTAGTGCACTCAGGAAGGGATCAAGATGGAGACATGAAGAACACAGCTCGACAACAGGTCCAGAGATGAATGACTACGCAGGAGAGCCCGCTAGCAGAAGACTATCACCAACAGGAGCTGAACCACTCAGGACAGTGGTGCATTTCCCATTAGGAGAGAAACGAAGGAGGGAAACACAAGTGACTAATGAAACATGAGCTGAAACAACACGCTTGCGATCGACTCAAGGCGCTGCAAGTCAGTAATCACGTGCTCTCTCTAGCGGCTGTTCTAGAAACTAGAAGTATGGAAGTGATGGTCACTTGACTCGCTCCATCAATCACGTGGTTCAGCATGAGAACAGCTGAAAGTGCATCATGTCAATCGACGTCAGTCAATTGCCGTTTACCCCTCTTTTTGCACATTTCGGGGTGAAAGTGCCTAGGGCCCCGGGGCCTTCTGAAAACAATGGCCAGGAGGAACAGCGATACGATGCGTGTCCCTACACTAACGACTGCAGGTCTCCCGTCACATGATGGAAGTGGTTTGTGGTTTGGGGCCTTGTGATTTATTTATAGGGTTGTTAGTGACAATGACTTAGGCGGATGAAACCAGTGTCACGCTCTCATTGGACCATCGCTGGGGGGGGGCAAACAGCAGAGCCCCGTGCAGCATCACTTCAGCTCACAGGGGGTCTAACAGAATCTCTCGCTGGACAACAGTGCGGGCAGTAGCCGCTTCAGTGGGCAGGCCTACCAGTTGTGCATGGGGCAACTGCAGGACTCCGGACTAGAGCTGCCTCTTCCAGTCCGCTTAAAACTTCACAGAGTCATCTCCTCCCTCCTCCCCCTCCCCACCTCCACCGCAGTTTCGCAAGCAGGCCAACGGCGAGGACAGCTGGGGTTTGAATCTGGGCAACGCCCTTGCGCAGGAACGCTGATGTATTAGGCAAGTCTCCTTGGAGACGGCATGACTCACAGCAGCCCGGCCTGGGAAGCTGAGGAAAAGGAGGCTGGAACTGACTGCGCAGGATGGACGCCATGCTTTAAAACAATGATCAGCCTCAAGTGGACAATGGCACAGCTCACCGTGGTATGGAGAGTGGTGTGTCCTGCATCAGGACACCGTATGGATTTCTTTAATCACCCCATTTGGGAAAGTGGCTGTAATTTGCTTGCGTTCTTATTTTAGGAGCAATTTTGTAAATGCACTGCACAGTTTAGAGTTTAGCCCAGATACATGCCTGAACAGATCCAGTTGCTTAAAAAAATAATTTGAAGTGAGTAAAAGGAGGCTTTGTAAGTAAAGTATTGCCACAGACACTCTAGAGACACTCCTATATGCCTACAGGCGATGCAGTGACAAAGGCAGGGCAGAGCAGGGTAGGTAATGAAGAAGGCAGATTGGAAATCAGGGCCGCCATGAGCTGAAGAATCTCAAAAATCATAATTTTCTGAGGATCTGTCATACAAACCCCTCCAGCACAATGATCAAGGGATGTCACTTTAACACAGGGCTTGATGTCCACAGCTCCGTGTTGTGTGAGTTAGCGCTGTAACGGCGAAATGTCGCTGCCAAAGTCTTTTTTTTCCAAGAGCAGAGGCTCAAATACTCCCATCAAACTCCCCCCCCCCAAAAAAACAAAAAACAAAAAAACTTCCAAGTCAATTCCACAGAGCAGTCATTCACAGCTCCTTGGAAAACAAAAGCTTGCTAAGAACCAGCAGTCCTTCCCCTTGGCTGCTCCATTGCTTGAACAGCAGATTTTCCTGCACAGAATCATGACCCAACCTCTCCCCCGCTCCCCGACACCGCTCTGCTTCATGACCACAGCTCACCGCACCGCGCGCCAGCTTTGGGTAACTGGAGCCCAGATGAAAATGAAAATGAACCCCCGGGTGCTTTGTGAGGCATGAGCTACCCACCTCTGATAAACTGGATAGAAATAATTAACCTGCGCAGCGAAAAGAGAGCGAGAGAGACGGAAAGAGGGCAGATCTTTCAGGAAACTTTTCAACTTTTTTTTTCTTTCTGAGCACGCAGCAAGGAAGAAAAGCAGCTGTCCGGAGGCAGAGGAGAAAATCGGAGACGCATAGAAAAAGACACGGAGGGAGAGAGGAGTTCCTGGAGTCTTACCTTGCGAGTTAAAGTGTAAAGCGGAGCTCCGGGACAGACGAGTTGTGTCGAGCGGACTAGCTGACAGGCAAGGAGGGAGGGAGGGAACCTTCTCTCAGACAAGTTTCCTGCCTTGATTCATACTCACAAACCCCCGGAGCCCAGCCCCCTTCAGCTACTGAGCCAGTGGGAGAGCAAGAGAGCCGACGATTGCAAAACCTGCCTTTTCGTTCTGTTTCTCGTTCTCTGCGGTCTCCTCTCTGCCGGGCCGGTGCCCCTTTTGTGTCAGTTCTGCCTGACAAGTCTGCTCGCCTTGAACAGACCCGCTGTTCTTTTCATGGGCTGAAGGACGGGTTCCAGGAAGAAGTCTTCCCAGGAGGAGAAACGTTGGTGGTGGAATGCAGGCAGGCGACCGTGTGTGTTTCTGCGTGTGATCTGGGGTGGGGAGCCAGGCCAAGCAGAAACACCTGTATCAATAACTGTATCAAAACAAATGGCTTTGACCCTGGGGCGGTGTGCATGTCACACAACACTGAGCACCAAAGGGAGAAAGCTCAAACCAGTACTGGAAGATCTGGTATGCGGGTCATGTTGCTCCTGATAGCTATATTTACACCAAGGTGCACAGGTGTTGTGTAATGAACCCTCCACTTTGCTCTAAAGGACATCTGTGATAGATTTAGCACTATCAGGATCAAGAAGCCACAGACCTGAAAGTTGCACAGCACAGCAGAGGGAGAGATTAATTACGGCATGAGACCAGACTCCAGTAAATCAGAGCTACGCAAGCACTGTCCAAGATTGCAGGTAATTACAGAGCCGTGATTCGGGCACACAGCCAAACCCTAAAGCCATGCAGCGCACACTCCACTGAATTCAGCCCACTCACTGACTCTGCATGGTTAAACAAACACTGAACCTCAATCGCTTGGAATCACCTAATGCCTACAGTCCATCCTGGACCTTGTGCGCCCACCTGCAGTTCCACACTGCTTTCTCACCCCCTCCACTGCAGGGCTCTAAGGAAACCATCACTTTAATCATTGTATGTTCAATGGGGCATATTTAGTCCCTTAGCTTGTTATGGTGATGTAATGTCATAACTACTTTGATAGCCTTTAATTCTCCAGCTAAATTCACTAAGCAGTGCACTGCCTGCACTGCTTCACAATACGTTTTCAAATTGCTACCTCTGTGTAGAAAATACGGCTTAGTCATCCCTGACTTTCATTGCCCAAGAGGTCTGTCTTGTCCCATATACTGCTTTAGCCTTTTATTTTTAACTCTGTCGCCTCTGTTTCCTCTGTTTTAGATCAAATGCAAGACGTGGCAAACAACTGGCTGATGACTTTTAATCTACACAAATGCAGTGTTACAGGCAGGGAGCACAAACATAAACCACAGGTATAAAAATGGAAACTGTTCTTAATGAAAAAAAATGTATGTGTGTGGACACAGCCTTCAAATCTTCTAGTCGGCAAACAATATTATTAGATAAGATCAGATCACTTTATTATCCATATACAATTGCTTGTATTAGGTATTTGTCTTATCACATACCCCAGCTTGCTCTCCATGAGACACACAGACAGGGAGAGAAGCTGGGGGTCAGAGAGCAGGGTCAGCCATTTATACGGCACCCCTGGAGCAGTTGGGGTTAAGGGCCTTGCTCATGGGCCCAATGGAGTAGGATTCCTTTGCCAGCCACGGGATTTGAACCGGCAACCTTCCAGCCACAGGTGCAGATCCTGAGCCACAGAGCCACTGCAGTTTAAAGTACTACCAGAAGGGCCCTATCTGCATGTAAGCATTACTTTAGTTTTCCAGGGCTTGTAAGGCGAGGGTAAGGTGAGAGTACTTCTTAGTATTGAAATCGAAAAACCTTTCTAGTAACCTACAGTAAATATTGTAACGCAACGGGGGTTCAGGCGGGTGCCCTTGCCGCATTAGCTCGAATCCGGGATTCCCGCATCACTCAACAAGGACCCAGCCCGGTGAGCCAAAGAGAGATCTCTCTACAGCCCAGTAGCTGTGGTCCTGCTATCACAGGGAAGGGCGGTGACGTCACCTGCTCTGGTACGCCGGCTCTTACACAGTACCTGTCATCCATATGCGTTACAATATATTATAACACTTCGCTGGGGAAATCTTACAGGTTAGCAGGGGTTTGTCCTTGGCTGGGTTAAAGTTGCTCTTAGAGTTACTGCTTGTAGTTTTAGTATATTTGGCTAGAAGGTATCTGACTCTCAGTGCTGTGCAGGTACTTTACCATTTGCAAAAACCACAGGTTAGAACCAGTATAGAACAGGAAACCCAATACCTCTTCTCTGAAGCAGTGTTTCTGCATAACCGCAAGACAGACAGTTAGATCCAACCTTTTACAGCAAAACAGTGCATTAACAGCCATGTTAACAGTGATCTCATGCCATCCAACACAGATAACAGAACTAACATTTCCTCTATTCAACTGGAACCACTACAAAGTCGAGATCTTGCTCGCGGTTGGCACTGGCAGGTGTGGTTTATTTAAAGATTTCCACCCAGCACAGTCAATTTGGCAACAGTGGGAGCTGCAGGAACCTTTTGTAACAGCAGTTACAAGTTACCAGCAGTTACCAACAAGCAGCTTGTTTGCAAACATCTGGATGTTTCTGGGTTGCTTTACCAGGGCTGGAGAATCCCATCATGCAGAAGAAACGGATCCTTCTCATTTCCCCACCTGCAGCCTTGAAAGTACGGCAATCAAGCAGGACATTTCATTTTAATACAGACTTGGTGATACAGGGGGTCTTTATGTCTGGGGGGGGGCATCAGATTTAGAGCAATTAAGCCAGATCATTAAGAGTGTGCATTCAATCTAACCAAATCGTACACCTCAAGATCTACAGTGGTGTAATTCACCAATGACCACTCCTGCTAGAGGCTTCAGAACAGGTTTTCCATTTATTTTGACACTACAAGCAAATTAATCATCGGCAGACTCCATAGTGGTGTCCACAATGTGCCGCCAGCTATCCCCATTTATTTATTTACCCTATTCAAAGGGTTTGGGTCGGCCTCGCTGGGGGTTTCTGAAGTGCCGCAGCGATCGCGCGATGAGGATCCCGACACAGGGGCGGCTCGTGCGATGTCGCCTTGCACGGACCAACTGGGAGATTGGTCGGCAACCGGTGGTGCTTTGAACTTCATTTGTTAGGCGTCTTGTATAGGGGATCCGCGGGGATCTTCTGCAGGCACCACACCGCCTGCATCCAACTGAGCGCATAGATATTTGGTCAGTGACCAGGTCTCGCATCCATAGAGCATTACTGGGGACAATGTAGGTCTTTTATAAACGCACCTTAGTGTCGACCGTAATGCAACCTGGCAAAGGCAGCAAAGAACTGATCCATTCATGGTGTCAATCAGATCAGTTTCCCCCTTCTTTGCTGCCTTGAAGAGTTAGTTTGGAGACAAAACCTTTGGTGTCAAGAACCCCAAGAACTGTCTTTATACCAAACGGACAATTGCTAAACCTCGGTATCCCAGAGTGTGTTCAATCCTGGTCAGGTCATTGCAGCTCAGCTCTGAACTGCCAGGAGCTTCTTGACTTTTTGTACCAATTTCTTCAACTTCTTCCACCTCATTAGGTGCTGCTGCTGCTTTTAAGACACCTAGAACTGCTGTACCTATACCAGGCCCTTCACCTCTGAACCCTGAAATGCTCCTCAGAGCAATGGAACTACAGGCAGCAAGTTAAGAAAAATTCTTGCAAGTTCAAGAATGAGAACTCTTAGCAGTTCAAGAGACTGGCCGGTTCACTTTCTGCCTGGAGCACAGCTGTTCAAAACCACACAATAGGAAACATCAGGTTAAATGAAAGACAACGGGACAGGGTTTTCCACAAAAAAAACTTTATTAAAACCTTTAATTTTCAATTCCCAAGGGGGAAAAAAAAAGAAATCAGAAGATACAGAAATAACGTAACAATTTCTATACAGTGGCCATTTTATCCATTGTTTTTCTTTTAAACCACAAACCCTGTCCAGGCTTAGACACGCATACAAAACCCTGTCTTGTCATGAATTCATTCATTCACACTCTCATCCTCGCCCAGCCAGCCAAAAATCAACACGCACATACGTCAACTGCGGGAGCCCTGTGCAACCAGAGATCCCGTCTGCTTCTTTTCAGGACAGTAAGGTGACCGCGGTCCGACCGCACAGACTGCTGGCCTGGTAGGTGAAAATGGCTTTGAGATGGTGCGCCAGGTGGCGCATTTACCCATCAGCGAGTGGGAAATGAATCGGAATACCAACAGGGCCATCGCGATGACAAATTGGCCATCACAGTGCCACCTGTAGCACCTGCTCTGAAGAACAGCCAAAAACAGTTCCGGCACGAACCACAGTTTCACCCTGACTGCAAAATCACACTCACTCTCAAACACGCACTCCGGCAACCATACCCCACTTCACACAGCTGGATAAGGACTTAATAGGAAAGACCAACACTGATTTGAGAAAAACAAAAATCACTTTTTTTTTTGATGGGGAGGCGAGGGCATTGCATTGAAAGGACCGCGTGATGCCCAGAAAAGTCTTCAGCCTATTAAGATTTTCAGAGGCTCTGTAACTAAAGATCCATAACACAGCTGGCATGTACAGTTACGAGTTTCACTCAATAAGCAATCTACCTGAACAGGAAACAGGAGACCCACGGTCCATTTTTACTTCCATCACCTCACACACCGTAACGCCAAATGGTTCACGCGTCTTTGCCGATGGTGGGGGGGGGAGGGGGGGAATTTTCCAGTCCCATCTCAAAGCCACTGTGCAAATACACACGGCTGTTTTATAATTAGGTGGGGAATTATTATAATAGAGCAACCACACCTGCTGAAATTTCCATTTGTGGGAGCAGCAGTAGACACTTTCACCATCGTAGCTGTGGTGTCGTGTCCCCTGCACCTCCCTTGAAACTTTCAGAAGATGACACATGAACTGGCTGACCGGAATCAGATTTCATTCTCACAAGCTTCTGTCCCCCACTTAAAGCTGCTTGCTGAGGATACAGAAGGCCCCCCAAATCCACAAGCATTTTTCATAATCTTTGCCAGCGTGCCTGACTCATTAGTGGGGAGAGTGATCACTAAAGAGTCATATCACATCCTTTGTACACTCCACATCACCCAACATGGATTTTGGATCACCGTAGGGCTTGGAGTGGACTGCACCGAGACGTGTCTCCCCTGTATTGAGGTAGATTTATTGAGCGATCCTCACACAATTAATACATAGTTCCCCACAGTACAGCTGTTTCGCCCTTACATCAGAACAGCCCAGAGCAAG